AATCTTCATGTAAGAGAAATACAAAAGATCACGAAAACAAACAAACAAACAAAACAAACATCAAGTAAGACCTTACGAAATATTCCACATGCTCGGAAAATAAGTGTAGACCAGTTTTTTATTTGTCATCATACGAAAGTAAATAGGAGGATGTAAATCCCTGTAATGGTCTGATGTAGTGGTGGGATGCGAAAAGAACAATATATGGTATGTAATGCACATCTCGTTCAGTGCCCTTGTCTAAGCACTGAAATGGTTAAAAACCTTATTGACTCACTTGTGTCTTGTTCCTGAGAGCAAGCATTTTTATTATCCCACCATTTTCGTCTCAGTGAGTCCAGAAACTGATTCTCATGGAGGTGCAGAATAGTCAGCGTAAATAAATCAGTGTGAGGGTCATACGCTCTAAAAGTCAAGGCGAAACCTTTGGCCGAGGTCAGACCAGGAACTGAAAATCACAAATAGGCACAATTTTAGAAAACTGTTAGACTGATTTTGACGCTGATTAACGGGTCTGAAAAATTGTCATGTCGTATACGTGGCCACTTAACCCTTTCTCTCGCTGTCAAAGTCCAATGATAATTCTAACTAATTCAATCCTACAAGAGAGCCTCACAGCTTTTGGTATTTTGACCACGCCCTTTCAAGTTATTTCACTTACCTACTCTGAGGCCGCATGGCCGCTGCATGGCGAGGTAATCAAGGACTGGTCCGTCATGAATAAATGCAAAATTATCCTTCTCTCGAACCCACTGGACTCCTTCTTGTGCGTTTTTAACTAATGTTTTTTCCGCTTGGATTCTATTCCAAATCTTCCTATGCGGCTCGTACTGAGTTTTCTTAAATGCTGAATGAACACTGGTGGAAGAGACAACTGCCACTTTGTAGGAGGTTTTTAAAATATCGTTCAGACTGTTGATCGGCTGAACTGCATTTTTCACAGTAAGGAAGGCAGCAAGGTTGGCTGTGTATGTTGAGACCCAGATAACTATACAGAACCAGTAGCAACCGGCCAGAATTCGACCTGAAGTGAAATAGGGACAAACTCGCAGTTAATAAAACAATGGGGTTCATGTTCTCAGGCATAAATATGATTTGGGTTCGAATCATAGTCATTTTAGCCGGAGCCTCTAGGCTGTATTACTCTATAACTGTATAACTATTTTATCACTATGCAAGGCTTTGATAAAATAATTAATGGAAAAAATAACAGCAATATGGTCTGAACAATCACGCGAGCATGCGATCGGGTGGAATTGCATATTAGTCTTCACAAATCTCCATTTTAGCCCGCAAAATGCGCCACAGAGCGTGACAAAGAGATGAAAATACCAGTAAACGCTGTTATCAAATATATATGAAACTGCCTTTTTATTGATACACAACAATCAAATTCCTTTTCTATATTCTTGGCCTAGCCGAATTCTTAATATTTTTATCAGCCCGAAATAATAGATGGTGATCTGTGAACAAGTTACGACCAATGAGCAATACCTTTGGTACTGAACGCGCTAACTGATTAAAAGAACTTGAACTATGAGCGATTTTGAGAAGCCATTTTTATATTATTTTATTGTCTAGCTTTGAGAAAGTAGCAGTCTGAACAATAAAGCGAGCGTTCAAGAGAGCGAGCCAAAATACATTTAGGTAATTTAGTGTTAACAACTAAGTTGAAAACGTAAATTAGCCATTGTAAAGGGTAAAAAAGCTGACGTTTCGAGCGTTAGCCCTTCGCCAGAGCGATTGGAGGAATCTATTGTAGGTTGTGGGTTTACATGCAGAAAGTGGAGCCACGCCATTGGTGTGAATATGGTGACGAGAAAACAGAAATAAATTAGTTGAATGAAAAGCGCTCGTTGATTCTGTGGGGATTAAGGGTGCCGATTTGGAAGATAAATTTTTGTTCTAGTGTTTTGCGGCTTTTACGAACTGCTTAGATGTAAGGAAAGGCCGCAGACTGCCATATGCTGTTTAGAATGATTAGGGAGATTAAAGTGTCCAGCGACTGGTTTGGATGCGTCCTTGTCATTTCTTTCCACGTCGCGAAGGTGTTCTCAGAATCGGTCACCTAGTCGTCTTCCTGTTTCGCCGATGTATAACTTATTGCAATAAGTGCAAGTTATGCAGTAAATAACATTGGCGGAGGTACAAGTAAAGTGATCAGTGATCTTAATAGATCTCTTGGGTCCCGATATTTTCTCTACGTTATGAATGAAAGAACAAGTTTTGCATCGTGAGCGAGCGCATTTGAAAGTTCCAGATTAGTCATTGGTTTTAAATGAACTCCTGACAAAATACATTTTAGCCTACCATAGTCTTCATTCTAGATCACAAAATGCGCGAAAATGCACGATAAAGTGATGAGAATACCGCGTTGTGTTGGCTTCTCCTTCGCACGCAAAACCAATGGAAGAACAAAATAGCATAGCACAGATAGCACATGTGTTATATCTGTAGTTCACCTTATGAGTAGTAATCATTGCAGTGGGGATATCTGTACTAACCGATTACCTGATAAATTCCTCGGTGTGTTATCTCCTCCTTGCTGCAGCATGCAGGCCAAAGAAAACCACACACTGTTGAAGAAATTAAACTCCTCTGATGTTCCTCTACCATTTTCATCTTTGTATCCATAAGGACTGAAGTAATTCAATACGAAGACAGCAATAGAGATGAGTGCCACTACTCCCAGAGTAGCGATCCAGACGCCATTTTCAAATGGATGCATGAACTGCAGTAAATCAGTTGTCTCTGTTGATGTCTTCTTCACCAGTAGATCGTCAGTATAATACATGAACGGAACGGTGAAATCCACCACCTTTTCTCTGGTTTCAGTGATGGCAATCGATCCAGCCGCCATGTTCGCATTCTTAAAGAAGGCAAAAGTGAACGTTTTTGTCGTCAGTTTAACTTTTAAGATCTAAGTCAGGGATTTTAGCTGTACACTGTCATGCTGTTACCTCTGATTTTTATGGTATTTAGTTTTTTTTCGTACTTGTTGCCTCGCGTGTCACTTGCGGTACTTTGCGCTGCATTCCGCCTACCTTAAAAAAGGTCTGATCTGGTGGCAGTTTATCTTTTACGGGCATCATTGTCAGTTAGAGTTTATTTCTTCATAGGCGTTTTCTTTTTAACCTTTTACTAATTACGGTGGTTGTCATCTGAGTTACGATGATTTTATCTACTGTAAAAGGTTAGTATTACATCTGGTGCTTTTTGGAGAAGAGAGTCAACTTTTCAGCTAATTACCCCGTCTAAAATCTGTCTTATCATGCCGTTCCAAGTTCCATTTTCCGTCACTGTTCCATAAAATCCATCTGGCGAAGGATACATTTCATATGTAAACCCGAGTGATCGAGACAGCTCCTTGAGAAGATCAATAGAGTATCCTTGAAGTGAAATCGTCCCATCTTTATTCTTCTTTGGCATTATAAATGGTGGATCCTATTTTGTTTTTCACGAAGGAAAAAAGAGTGTTAAACGAATGCCATTAGAGAGGGATAGAATATACCGAGAGATCGAATTCATTATATTTGATTTCAGTTTGCTATGACGTAACCAGCACTAAATTTTTGAAAGTTGCCTCAAGGCTTAAAAGGGCCTATTACAGGGCCTATTACAGTTGGTTACTTAGATACAAACTTTCTTGAATATAATCACTGTAACTGCCACTGGCGACTAATACTAACTAATTCTAGCGCAATTTTTAACGCGGAACGAAACGACACGGTACGGTTAAAACTGCAAATAAAACAGCGAACTAAAACTATTACAATATAAACTAGACTAAATACACAAGGAAAGCTACAACGAAAACAACGAAGAAAACTACATGATACAAAACTTACATTTATTGCGATGTTATAGATCCTGCCTAGTGGCGAACAAACTGCACGAAGCGAAAAGAACAAATATACGAAGCTACACTCAACGAAACTACACTGCAAAAACTGCACCAAACTACGATGAACAATACGGTTGAAT